CCCCCCGCGCGCCTCCGCCGCAATCAATACGCCTTGCCACGTTTGACCCCGAGACGTCGCCTCCTCGCCTGGACAGATGCTCGACCCGACCTCGTCGGCGTCGCCTGGGTGGGGAGACGGTCGATGCAGCCACGAAGGCGAATGCTTGTCGTTCAGGGTGGACCTGGAAGTGGCTGCGCCGGACCTCCGTGTGGGCGTGAGAGTGAAGGTTTCCAGCCTGGAGAAGGCTTTGCTGCCGACGGGGACGGTCCGGCTGCTGGAGCTGTTTTTCCGCGGGAGCATGTCGGTGCGGGCGGAGTTGCGGCCCGAGTTCCCTTTCGTGAAAACGGTGAGACTGAAAGTGTGAGAGGGCGAAAGGAGCCCACGAACATCCGGCGTTTGTTTCCGAAGGGTTTGCAGCGCGGTCAAGTTTGTGGTGTGAGAACACGGGGTTGATTTCTGCCAGGCTGCTGGAGAGAAAAGGCGGGAATCTGTCCACTCCTCCCCCCCTCCATGTTCGCTGAAGACAAGGTGGCGAGAGCGGGAGCTAGGTCCTAGGCTTGGGCTTGTAACACGGTGGGTGATGCTTGGCTGCTCCTGCTTCTACTCGACCTGCTGTTCTAGCAATTATCAAAGATTACAGAGCCGTATAACGAGCCATCCTTCAGCTTACAGGCCTGTGCGAGGTCTTGGATTCACGACACTTCACAGAGTGCTACTGTAGCTGTGGAATGAAATAAACCCCTCTCTGCCCATGCCGGTTCCCCTGGCGCTCCTGAGCAGGTACTCATCGCGTTTGATGACCCTCCAGACGTCCAGGTAAAGTTGGAACAGTGGGGGCTCGACGCCTTGAGTCTCGGAACCGTGCCTGCTGCTGTGGACGAGTGGGCCCGGATGGCCTTGCAGCAAGCAATTTCACCGTACGTCATGCCCGGGTGAGGATAAAATTCCAGCTGATCGTACCCCTCTTTTCTTTTATCTAGGCCCCGGCCGTTTTGTTTGGTTTTGGGGGGAGAGGGAACCATGACGCGGGGGTTGAATGTCTTCTGCATGGGTTGCTGGTGCTATCTTCGCGAAACACCACCTCAAGTTTGTGATATCTGCGATTCTTCCGCTCCGCCGTACCATTCAATGATGCCCCTCGCGAATTTCCTTGCGAACTTTCTACCCATTTTTCTCCCCCCTACCCCCCCGAGACCACATCTTTCGTGGATGCGGGTGGTCAAGCTACGACCGACCTCGATCTGTCCCCCTTGCTTGACATTGCTTCCAGGTTCATCGAAGTTGACGCGGCCAGCGCCATCTGTCCTGATTGCCCCGAGGTACCCACAGCAAGGAAAGCGGAGACGCAGCAGGACAAGGCCGGCGGCGTCGACATCCGTCTGCCTTCTTCCCGCCTGCCGGGCGCGACGGCGGCGACTCTCGCCAAGGGCAGGGAGACCGCCGATGGGGGGAAGGTCAGCGGGCGAAACATGCCAGGCAAGGACAGGGGCAACCGTCGGTTCGGCAACAAAACCGGTAAAAACGCCGACGAGCGGAAACCCGGGAAGTTCTCGGTACAGGACAGCGGCCGTTTCCCGACGGTCGCCTCCGCCTTCGAAGGGGACGGCTTGGTTGGGCGTGGGGGACGAGCGGCTGCCATGGCCAACTTGTACGAGCACAGGGGCGGGATGGGCAGGGTTGTGCAGTGGTTGAAGGAACGCCTGACGAACTTCGTTGTCGCTTCGAACGAACTTCCGACGGAAAGCGAGGGTCGTCACGTGATGGATTGGCAAGGGATGGATTGAAGTCATGTATTCTCCCCGATTGTCCGGTTTGGAACTTCACAGCATTGTTGAGCCGACGGTGATATGCAGAGTTGTTGTCGAGTTGGCATTTGTCTTGCACGACCTCCCTTTTCAGGGGCACGGGACCTTCGCGCGAACTGTCTCCCCTGTCGTTGTCTGTACCGAGTGCGCCGTGTCAAGCGCTCGCCCTTGTGTTTTCTTCGTACGTCAAGGCAGCGCTGCTCGAGATATTGTGTCGCCCGTTTGAAACGTTTGGAGCGTTTGTGCGCGAACTTGTCGTTCTTGTCATTGGCCGTGTTGCGACTTCAATTTCATCGGTGCTGCGATTTATGTGAGGCCCTCAATGCGAGATTTTTGTGTTCGTGCATTATAGGTTGGTCAATACAGACAGGTTGACCTGAAGCGCAGGAAGAGTCTCTCGCTGATACGTCGTACATGCCATATCCCACTGTTTTACTATCCACGCAAGCCATCCTTGTGTTCCTCTTTTTCGGATGTTGCGCGCAAGAAACTACAATCAAGCCTCTTGCTGTTCGGCAAGCCGATCTCACTTCGACTGCTGCGGAATGTTGTTTTCCGGAGATCGTTGTCGGGGAGGGGCGGGGCAAACCAGGGCCGCAGGTGCGACCACTCGAAACAGGTTGGTCGTTCTACCGTGCGGTACCCATGTCCGATTCTACAGACCGCAACATCCGAAAACAGCAAAGAGAGGAAACATATCCCGTTTCGAATCCCGCAAGTAAGCTGCATCGTTGGCTGCGCTTCGCCGCCATCGTGCACAGCGTGTACGAACGACGCAGGTGCGACGGCCGTGCTGACATACAGGGCCGGACCAAAACAAAATTCGTGAAAGGTAGGCACAAGCCGTCTGCAAAGAATGAAGTATTTCACAGCAGTGACTTCTTCGACTCGGAGCTACCCAACATGCCATCGGAGTACACACAGGGTGCCGCTGCTGCTCGTTGGGTGTCTAGACAAATGTCAACGACCGAAAATAAAACTTTAGGACTCAGGACGAAACGTACCCATTGGCAAAGCCTCCAAGACAGCAACAAGCATGGACAAACCTACTACCGTACAGTACATCAACACGTGTCACCAACGCCTTGGCAACAGCTAGGACCTCATCACTCCCTCCAGCACCGGTTGTGCAACCCCGCATTGCTACGGCCTCAGGAGTCCACGCACAAGCGACTCGACCCCTCCCCCAAAAAATACTGAAACACCTCTACTACCATTGCACGAATTTTCAAGCGTGATTGGAAAGTAAACCGTCAACTATCATAAGTGAAGACACTACATTTTTGCCCTATCCGTCACCACGGTCTGCACAGTCCCGGACATGACGCGGGGGCCGTTCGCGGGCTCGCTCCCAGCGCTCTTCTTTGCCGCGGCTGCCCGGTCATCGTCGTACACGTCCTCGCCCAATCCGTACTGGGGGCGACAAAAAACAAAACAGGGGCGGTCGGCAGCGATTTCGCAAGTGAGGTCCAAGTCTGGGTTCAGCAATCAACGACCAACCTTTCAGAGCGGATGCGGAAAATGAAAATGTCTACCTTCTGCTGGCTTCCTTCGCTGCAGAAGAGTTTCATCGTTAGACCCCAAGCTAGGTTCCTATGAAAAAAATGATGCCGTACCTTAGGATTGGAGAGGAACTCGTTTTGCGCGTCGTCGCTCTGGTATACGCAGGACAGCTGCGGGTGGTCGTTCAGGTCTCCCACGTAGCCCCACGTGTTCATGCCCCCCTTGCACTTCTCCACGTCCTCGTTGGTCAGCAGCCCTCGCTTCCGCTGCAGAACCTCCACCACGTTGGACGATCGCAGCACGCAACCCGGTTTGGTGTCCGCCTGCGGGAAGATGTACACAGAGGGTACGGTAGGGGAGACAAGGGAATCATCAACCGTATCACGAGTTGCTATATAAATACACACCCCAGTCACGGAAAAATACCCTGCATCTCCAGCGCAAGCATTGACGGCCCTCTCTTGTCGATAAAGGTGCAAAAACCTGGGGAAGCAATAAGCGCCGTGCGACAAATTCTCCTCTGCCCCCCCGTCTCACGGACCGCAGCAAAACCTTCGCATAGCCATGCAACCGTAGGAGCCTGGATCATACAAGGAGGAGACGCGGAGTTGATTTCCACGGCACCGGTTTCTTAGCCTCACCAAGAAGACACATCCAGAATGGGAATTAAGTACACATTCCTTACCATGGCCATGCCACGAACGAAAGCAGTTCAAGCGCATCTTCAACCACGAAAAAGTATCACACCACCGTACCTGCGAGACGTGCAAGCTGAACGGGTTGAAGGTCACGAACACGCGCTGGTCCACCACCATGGCACTAGACCCGTACGTCTGACAGATGTTGGGGTTGGGCGCGTTGCGGTCGATGGCGTCGCGGCTCGCCAGATCCCTGGGGTCGGTGTTGATTGCCGAGTCTACCGTCACCCCGGTGCCGATGCCCAAAACAAAAACGCCTGCTATGAGTGCCTGAACAGGATGAATCGCAACGGCGAGACACAAGTCATGTTTCTTCGGTGCGCATAGATCCCAGGAGCGCAGGAAGTTCAACGAAGCGTGTGCAACTGTTGCACAGGGTGCATTGCCCTCTAGGAGACCGTGGACAGATGGTTGATCGGTTTGGCGGTGGTTGTCCCCGAAACATTTGAGTACGGATTTGCCATGCGTACCGCAGTGCTGTTTAGTTCGAAACAAAGCTGACAATCATAAACCTCAAAGCAAGGACCTGGTGCACGTGCCCGTAGGTTGAAGTTACTGCGCACAGCCATACACAGGAGCGTCGGCACGAGACGATGGCAGCGCTGCCGCACACACTCACTGAAACAACTTGCGGACAAAACATTGGTGTACATCCTGGCGACAAGATAGCAAGCTTCCACCATCCAAAAGGAAAACACTCAAACTGCGCGCAAAGCACTTTCGACCCCAACCACCACAAAGCCTCTTTAGATCCAGACCACTAGGGCGACACCGGCAGGCTTGTACAGTAGTGTTCCCTGCTAGTGCCGGTATGTGCCCACGAAACTCAGCGGCACGATTCCGGGCCGGCACTATTCAAAGGATTGAGAATGACTTGGAAATTAAGCGTGTGCTCGCCGAAAACACCGGCACCATACCGTGGCAACGGCACTATTCAACTGGCGCTCAGGCGCTCAACAGGGACCTATACTCTACTGCTGTACGCACCGCCATGTATAACCACTGACCTTGCTGAGCGTTGTGGGCAAGAGCGGCACCTTGGGCCTCTTTCTCCTCGGCGGAGCGACAGCTCGCCTGTCGTCAAGGTCATCATCGAACAGATCGTCATCGTCGTCGTCGTACAAGAAGTCGTCTCGTCGTCGTGCGCCGAGAACGTGCTTCGACCCCCCGCCGACGACACCACCACCCCTCCGCCCTTCCCGCTTCACCCGGCCGTTTTGCCTTCTGACAGGCGAGGCACTCGTGCTGCCGCTCCCGACAGCTCGATGCGCCGCGCTGGAGTGAGGATTAATCGTAGTCGGGCACAGGAATCCTGCCGTCTGCTGGAGGGGATGTGGAACATGGACGCAAACGAACAGCGTGATTTGTAGTAGCGACGTGTCAAACAGCTCAGGTGAGCGTGAGTTTGGTTTGGTATTCTTTATTCCCAACGACTCCACACACCGCCGACGCGAATACAGGCAGCAAATATGAACCCATGTTGTACACGGCAACACATGCAAGCATAACATTCAACCATTGTGGGCATCGCTCGCTCTCTTTCTTCGAGTGTGTACCGACCGTACCTTTGTGTCATGATGTGCTCCTTCCCCATATATTCTAGACTACTACTGCTGGAAACCGACATGCAAGACGAGCCAGACTCATGGCGTTCGGTGGGCCACGTGCGAAAAGCTGCAGCAGTCACGAGCCATGAGGTGCAAACATACATACAAACATGGGTGCGGTGTGTCGCACACGCTACGGCTACTGGTGTCTGCTCATGGTCAATGTGTGTGGCAGGAACAACTGGCACTACAGCAAAAGCCCCGTTTCCAGGTATAAAATGGGCCACCAAAACGAGGAACGGCAGCAGTGGCGGAGCCCGAAAGGGTTTGACGATGGCATGCTGCCGCTGTCATCTGAGGAGTACTCGGTACTCGGACAACTCAGTCGACGCTGAGGATTGGGGAGGAGCATGCACGAGGCGGATTTAACCTCATCTGCACACGCGATGTTTAGACCGACAACAGGCAGTGTTGAAGAAGAGGACAACATACACCAAAGTTGAGCATCACCTGCACTATTAATGCCAGGAACATCCCGCCAGCTGCGAGTGTTGCCCCTGAGTACCTCATCGTTGAAAACAAGGCCAGCCAGATCAAAACGAGAGATGGCAAGGAGCGAGAGGCAGCGACACGTGACAGCAGTATATCGGGGGAGCACGCGGCCAGGAGCAGATTACAGAAGTACAGGGGGGGCTCCGTTGTGCTACCATACCCCCTAAACGATCGGCGCACATGATGGAAAAAAAGGAAGGCAAACAAAGTTTGGCGCTGATGGGGATTGAACCCGCAACCTCGGGCACTGAATAACCACACATGGATTCCTTCTGTCAAACTTTAAGACAATGAAAGGACTCGTCATTCGAATACGCCTCTTCGTATTTTTTTCGCGCTTCGCGCGAAACAAATATAACTCGTTCCCGGGTTGCCCTACCCATGGTCGCTGAGCCGATCCCGATCCCAAATCACTTCAAAATCTGCGCACGATGGCGGAGGAGGAGGAGGAGTGGAGAAGCGAGGGCACTCAGCTAGAGCAAGAAAATTGTGATGACGGGGATGGTGACGACACTGTGACGGAGGGCGGAGACAGCGGAAACGAGTCAGAGGACGACCAAGGCGACACTCAAATCGCGGCGCAGGACACTGACCTGGACGCAGGTGGTGTAGCAAACGCGGAGAGCAACGACCCTGCGCGCGCCATGAACGTTGCTTTCGAAGAAGAGCCAGCCAGTGTATCAGGTGGTGCCGCGGGCGGTGGTGCTGGCGGCGGAGGGGGTGCGGGAGGAGAGGAAAACGAGCAGTGTGAGCCAACGCAGCCGACACAGGTTGACAGCCCCGACGCCCCAGCCCCCCCACCCACCGCCGCCCTCGACAACCAGGAGCAGGATTTGGAGGACACCATGTCGCACAACCCCGCGTCGTTGGGAGCAATGGCAGAGGGCGAAGCAGCGCTGACAACCGATCCCGCCCCCCAGCCGAAGCAGCAGGCGGTATCGCCAGTCCCTCAAGCAGCCGGTCGTGCCTTAGTGGCGTGTGCGGCGGACCGGCGCAGGACGCCTTCCCCTCTGCGCAGAGCCGGCCGTGGCAGCGGCGTTCTGCTGCTGGCGGGCGGCGGCAGCGGCGGGGAGGCTGCTGGTGGGTACGGGGCGGCGGCGGGAGACAATGAAGCGGGGACGAGCTCCGGCTTCCTGAACTCGGCGGAGCCGTCGGTGAAGGCGGCCCGGGCCCGAGCCGCTCTCCCCTTGTGGCCGTCGTCGTCGCCCCATCCCCTGCCCGAAGGCTGGCTGGACGACGGGCTCGGCGTTGCTGCACCAGCAGCACCAGCAACAGGCGAACCCCAAGCGAAACCGCCGAAGAGCAGGAAGAGTGAGCGGCGTGAGCATGCAACGAAGGGGAAGGGCGCTGGTGCTTCGACGCTTGCAGCCGCCGCCCCGGTGAAGCACGTGCCCCCCAAGAAGACATCGCCGACCAAGGCCGTCGCTGGCCGTGGCGGCTGGATACGGACCAAGGTCGGCGGAAACGCGCATCTGCCGAGGGATTCCGCTTCGCAGGACGACGACACCGGACTCGCCGCCGCCCTCGACGCTCGGGAAGGATCGGTATCGCAAAACATTTTCGCTATCGGAGTGCCGGAGGAGCGTCGCTTGGTGGGCGCTGCTGCCGGTGCCAGCGCTACCGCCGAGATGGATGAGGACGAGGATGACGAAAACGAGGACGGAGATATGTTTTTGACAGGCATCGGAGGAACGACGGTGGACTCGCAGGAGTTCAAGGCCGACGATTTTTCACAGATCAGGAAGGGCTGCTCGCAGGAGAAGAACGAGTTCGACCGTTTGCTGGATGACGAGATAGCTGGCGCAGCGTCCACCGGGCAGGGAAGGGAGGGGCCGAAGCAGGGCTCAGGCGATGGCGGGGAGGAGCTACCTTCGGCATCCAACGGCGGTGGAGCTGCCACGTCCGGCAAACGCAAAAGGATGATGGTGAGCTCGCACGTTGCAGAGGGGGAAGGCGGCGGAAGCGGCGGCGCCGCTGCGGGGCGAAAGGGAGCTTCCGGTTCTCGCACACCTGGGGCCTACATGGGCTCCTCGGCATCATTATCGAGTTCGAAGAAGCGAGCGTTGCCGAGGTGTGGATAATGCGGTTTTTGTTTATGTGAGATTTCGTGAAACATTATCAGCAGTGAAGTACATAACTTGGTCGATCCACCGTTTTCGATTATTTTGGGGGCCTGCGAATGACTTTTTCGGTGTGCCTTATTCGTAAAATCTTGATCCCCGTGGCATCGTGTTGTAGACTTTGCGGCTACAATGACACGCACGCTGATTCACATCCTCGAAATCACTTTCGCGATCCGTGCGGGAAGGGTCGTATCAATGCTGTAGTTTAGCTCACTTCTCACACCCTGCCTTCGATCGTCGATTTCAAGCGCCGCTGCACTGCCTGCCTCTTTTCTATAATAGTATCTGTTTTCGACAACTCTATGCCTCCTGAAGTCCAAAGCGTGCTTGCAGCCGGAGCGGTCGAAGGTTGTACTTAAAAAAAACTCGCTTCTGAAGCCACTATTCCACTCTGTTCCGCGTTTCCCAAACGTCTCCTCTGTCCCTCCTCCTTGTGCAGGTCTCTGGGAGTCACGAACCAGCGGGAACCAAACGTTTTCGACATGAACAGTGACGACGAAAGTAGTGACGGCGGTGGGGGGGTGGTCGGTCGGCCCACGATGTCACAGCAGTCCGATCGTCGCCGGGCCTCCAAGAAGAGCACTGGCGCCAACCGCGGTAAGGGGAAGAACAAGGCAAAGGCCCCGAACCCCGCGGACAACCTAGGGCCCACGCGGAGGGTTGCTGCTGCGGCTTGTGAGAAGGTTAGGGAGGAGGAAGAGGAGGAGGAGGAGTCTGTCGGTGTCGATGTGCGGGACTTGCACACTGACGACGACGACGATGACGATGACGACGACCAGATCGTGGTGACCACGCAAGAGCTTCGGACGGAGAGAGCGATGGCGGCCATCCGGAAGGACACCACCCCTGTTTCGGCGGAGGATGAAGAGGAGGGGGAGGAGGAGGAGCAAGAGGAAGAGGAGGGGGAGCGGGGGCTCCAAGGCGGAGGGGAAGAGGAGGCACAGACACTGGGCAAGGGGGGCAAGGATGAAAAAGAGGTTGTGGGAGAGGGAGACGAGGAAATGAAGGATAGGGAGAAACATCCAAACAGAGGGGAAGGTCCCGATGCGGACAAGTCGTCTGAGATCGACGGGCGAGCGAATATCGCGGCGGCGGGTGACAAAGGTCTCGTTGCGGCTGCTGACGGCGGCGTGAAGTCCCCTGAGTGGTTGACGTACAAGGCCATGGTTTCGTTTCTTGACGTCGAGGGCTGGAAGTGCGTCCACGGCAAGGGTCTTCACACGTGGTTTTATCTGTTGCCCGGCAAGAACGGGAGGAATGGGAGGTACGGGTTGGATTTCCTGGTCTCCGAGGAGGAAGTCGTGCAGCACGTGCGCTGCGACCAGCCGGCCCTCTCCCGTTACAAGGCGTTTCTCGAGGCAAAGGCCAAAGTAGCAGCGGCAGCGGTAGTAGAGGCACCCCCGCCCACAAGCAGCGTTGGAGCGACGGCTGAGCGTGTGGACGACAGCTGCCCCGGTGACGGCGGTGGTGGTGGCGGGCGGCGTGGTGCCGACGGCCCCGTCAAGGCTAGACCTCGGCGCGGCAAGAGCAGCGACGGGGGCGGGGGCATCGCGGGATCGAGCGCGGAGGCCAACGTTGACTCCGCTGCCACGCCTGCTGGTGCTCCCTCTGGTGCCGCGCCCGCCGCCCGTCCCGCCACCACGCAAAGGAAGAACAGCCGCGGCACCGGACGAGGGAGTGCCCAAGCTGGTGGGCGGCAGACGGCCGAGGGGCCGGCGTCACGGGAGCTGCCGCCGAACGCAGCGGGAACCAAGCCGGGCTCCGGCACCGGGGACGCCGCCCAAACTGCTTCCACGAAGCGGCGAGCCGGTCACGGCAGGCGGAAAGGAAGCGGCCAGACCGGCGACGGGGGACAGAAGAGCGACGAGCCCGCTGCTCGCGACAAGCCTGCTGCTCGAGGGCGGTCGCAAGGCGCGGTGGATTGGGTACAGAAGTGGCGGGACGACTGGCCGAAGCTCCAGGAAGATGGGTGGCACTGGGCGTACGGGAACGGGGTCGTTGATGGGTGTGTCTACCTCAAGTCTGGCGCCACTAAGAAGACCGGCAGGCTGGGCGTCGACATGTTCTATTCCAGGCAGTCTGTCCTCGAGCACGTCCTCGAGTCCGTCCCGAAACAAGCAGACCCCCCTGTGGGTGGTGCCGCGGAGCCCCCGGTCGAGAACGGGGGGGGCAACGCTGACGTCGATGGCAGGGACGACAACGGGCCCTTCGTCGAGTGGAGCTTGGGGCTGCACAGGGTGCGGAGGCAAAAGGTCCAGCAGACGGATTCACGGGACAGGACCCCGCCGGACGCGCCCCCAGTCGAGGCCATGAGCCTGCCAGGCCGGGCGGGCGGGCGTAGAGGCGTCCCGTCTCCGCCCTCCGCGAAGAAGTCTTCGGCTGGGAAACCCGCTGGGCAGGAACAAGCCGGTAGCCGTCAAACCGCGTCGCGAGGGCAAGAAGGCAGCAAGCGCGGGCGAGGACGCCCCCCCACCATCCCCGAAGGAGACAACGCGGCGCCCGGCCCTGCGACGAAGCGGGGGAGGGTCGGCGTCGCGAAGCGGCCGTCCAGGAAGCCCCGTGGTGGCGGCGAGGGCAGCGAGCAGGGCCTAGAGATGGGTGGTGAGGACAATTCGGACGGCGACAGAGATGATGACATGGACGATGCCCCGACTCAACCGCAGTTTGAGCTAGCGTCTGCGATCAACATGGCAGAGGTAGGAAGTCGCAAGGCTGGCAGTGGGGGTTCCGCAACTGCTGGTGCGCCGGCGGCGGCGGATTTATCCGCGGGTGGTAAGGATACGGGCGGTGGACCCGCAGGGGCTCCGAGAGATGCCGCGATTACGGGACAGGAGGTGCGCGCGGGTGAAAGTGGCAGCGAGCGCCCGCAGGGTAGCAGGTCGGCCCCACGACCAGCACATGGATCTGCCAGGACCAGTGGTGGGAGCCGTAGCAGCGGCGGCGGCGGCGGTGGCGGCGGCGGCGGATCCAGCAGTGGCAACGGCGAAGTCGCCGGAGGCATGACAAACGGAACCCCAAAGAGGAAGGTCGCACGCTCGCCTCCGAATTCTTCGTCTAGCGCACCAGGCGGCGGCAGCGGCGGCGGCGGCGGCAGCGGTGCTAGAAAGAAAATGCAGCGATCGCTGACTGCGACCCCCGGTGTTCGGTCGTCGAGCCGCCGGATCAACGCAGGCCCTTTCTCTGGGCTGGGTGTTGTCCTCACGGGCCTTCGGGGAGATATGCGTTGCGAGATCGAGGCCAGCGTGACGAAGCTGGGGGGGAAGGTGGTCAAGGTCGCAGGCGGCAAGGTTTCCGACGATGACGGCTGGCTAAGCTGGATACTCGAGGAAGTCAGGCAGAGCGTGGCCGGCGGCAGGGACCCTAAAATAGGAGCCGAAGTGGGGGGCATGCCCAACGGCGACAAGCCCACCCCCCCGCTGCGCCGGATGATAACGGTGGCTACTCCGGACAGCGACCGTACCCACAAGTTCCAGCTCGCGCTGGCTGCGGGGATGCCTATCGTGCACCCCTCCTGGGTGGGCGCGTGCTCCAGCGTGGCGACAGTCATCCCTCCTCTGGGTTATATATTGCCGCTGGGACGGTCGGCGCTCGGAGACCGCGGGTTACTCATGCCTCCCGTCGGGTCGGCTCGAGGCCGGCCGTTCCAGGGCAAGAACATAATCTTTTGCGGGGACGGACTGGACGGCGGGAAGAACGCCGTGGATAACTGGGTGTTCTCCTTGACCGTTGCGGGCGCCACGGTGATGGTGCTGCACGAGGGCGGCGGCGGCGGCGACGGCGACAAGAAGAATGCCGGGGCGGCGAGCCCGGGGAAGGAGGCGGGCCGGTGCACCCTCGAGGGCGCCCTGAAGCTGGTCAATGATGGCCAGGTTTTCTGCGTGATCGGTTCCAAGAGCGCCGACGGCGGTTCGGCCTCGGCGTCGACGGCGGCGGTGGAGAGGGCCGCCGAAGTGATGGGCACGCCCGCGGGGAGCCTGGAGTGGGCCACCCAGTGCATTATCCACGGCCGGCTGCTGCTCCCGAACGCCGGAACGTGTCCGTGGTTTCCACTTGGCGGTAGCGGCGGCGGCGGCGGCGGTGGCGGTGGGAGTGGGAGTGGCGCTGGCGTTGGAGGCGGCAGCAGAGACAAGAAGGGCAAGGGTCGTCAACGGGCCGGGCGCGGCAAGGGCGGTCGAGGTGCAGCAAAAGGGGAGGTAGACATATCGGGTGAGGCGGACCCCTTCTACGTGCACCTGTCGGGCGGCAAGAGGTACGTTGCCGGGGACTATGTGATTCTCCGTAAGGACAAGAGCGCGGCGATGTCCAGCAACGGCTGTGGGGCGGACGCGGGGACTGGGGGCGGGTCGCGGGTGGCGACGGCGGCGGCGGCGGCGACGGCGGGTGGAAGCGCCGCCGACGTTCCTCCGGCGGTGGCACGCGTTGTTTCGTTCCGGCGGGAGGCGGGGGGGAAGGTGAAGGTGACGGTGACCCCAATGAAGCGGGGCGATGGTCCCAAGATCTTGGTTGCTCCCGGCAGAGAGAATAGGGAGGAGGAGGAAGAGTTGGACGATGATGTGCTGGGGGGCCGCGTTCTCTTACTGCCCAAGGAACTCATGACGAAGGCCAACCACTACGCCTTTAACGACAGTACCATATATTTTCTCCCGTGTTAGAAGGAGAATCGTGTGTGTTCCCACATAAAAGATTGTGGGATTGAGGGAGGTTTGCATCGTGTTTTTAGCAGCTAACGGCGTTTCCTCTGCGCGGCCGTGTCGGAGTCGGATGGTTTGATGAGGAGGCTCGTTGGAGAGTCGTCGTCGAGTGTTCGTCGTCGTCAGATCGCTCGCTTTCATTATTATTTGCGTGTCCCTTGGAAAGAGCGCACAACCATCCGATGAAATGTCAAGCATGTTGTTGTTCTCGTATGTAACGTGTGCTGTGCTGTTGTCTTTGTCTGCTTTCTCCATTGTCTCGGTAAATCTGTGCCATGTGTCGTGTTGGTCAGGGTGTACTTGAGCGGGTCTTTCTTGAATTTTCGATGTCCTATATATAGCCGTAAATAATGAGAGCATCACATCACCGCATAGAGGAGTTGTCCCGAGGGGTTGGCAAGTGATGGTCTTCCTTTCGGGTGCTGAAATATTCCGGTGTACACGGTGCGAATGTACGTAAATGAAGTTGGTTGGTGCGCTCTTGGTTCATGTTCAATGTTAATGCGATGTTTTCGATGCGCGGGTGAGTGAACGAAGTTCCTCAAAGCTGACGGATCTTTCATTGCTTGGGTGATAACTGCTGCGCCACGGTATACTTTGGGGTGCGCGTGAATGGTGTGCAGAACAAGCCTTTCGCTCAAGTATTGCGGACTGGTTGAGTAGAGGTGGGTACGGCGGGAGCAAGTGTGCAAGAACGAGTGGCGATGATTTGGCGCTCCCTTCGCACTGATTATTCGACCCACCACGTGTGTGTGCAGTTGTCGTGTAAAAAAGGCAGTTCTTAACCCAGTAGCCGGTAAACGCGCGAATGACCTGCGTTGATTGGCCGAAGCACAAAAGGGTGACATGTGTGAACAATCCTCTTGACGTCAGTGCAGTCGCGAGCGTGCGTCGAAAAAAATGCCTGCCGTCATTCACTGTTCGCTCTGCAAGCGAAAAGTTGCAGTCACACACGCCTTGTGGTGAACCATTTGCGGGGAATCGATTTGCGCTTGTCGCAGAGGCGGCCTGATCGACACGATCAGGCAAAAGACGTTTGAGTGCCTTGTGAAGGATCTCTCAAACACGACGGGTGGTTGCAAAAAAGATGCAACAATCCGTTCCATGTGAAACGCCAGTCAGAGCGGACCAAACCAGCACAAAAAGAACCGTGTGCCCGCGTACCTACCTATCCGCATGCAACACAATAAAACTGAAAAAAACGAGAAAGACAAGTCCCCCGTGTAAATAACACTTGTGGTACGTGACGAGACTTCAAGAAGGAACACACCATGACACGTAAACCAAGCATCGAACCACCCCCACTAGACCCCCAGCTCGGCCGCCAGAGCTAGAAATCCGTCAATACCGCCATCAATTCTAACTTGTCAATTACCAAGAAGTCCTCGCGAACGAGCTCAAGCCGCTGTTGTCGCTACCGACAGCTTGAGAAATCGCCTGCCGGCGACGGGAGAGCCGACCAACATGCGTGATTTGAAGCACACCACATGGTATCACACCGATCCGCCAACCCCGACTTTCAGTCTAACCCCTCAAGCGACACAGACCGCGATGGTGTATTCCGTAAACATACATGCACGAGAAAAAAAAAGCTTTGCCTAACGTCAAGAGCGAACAAATCCGTTCCCATCACTCCGATCACTCCGTACAACTAAGGATTCGGAAGAGAGTACACCTTGACGAGTGGCGCGAAAGAGAGCACGATACACCGAGCCTACAATACAAACAACAGACAACAAAATTACCCCAAGCACAGTGTGAACCAAATACTTATACGATACGAAACCCCAAAACGACCCAGATAAAAAAAAATCCCAACAGTTGTCGACCGCAAAATTCACAGAGCCGAGGTGGTATCAAGGACTCTTTTCTTTCATGCCGACTTTCCTATCATTGTATTGTATCTGCGCCAGGAATCGAGCAACGAGGTACAAGACAGCTCGAAAACGAACAGATGGATGCTCATCGACACGGATAGCACCTTGTCACAACTTATGCTCTTTATACTCTACTCCAAACACTACGGCTTCGACGTATCTGCCTGAGTGTGCGTTTTGCCGCGCGCACGACGCACACCAGTTGTCATATATCGCCCTCTTGTCGCTTCGTCGCATGGGTAGTAGGTGAATCCCTGCATACCAGGCTCGCTTTCCGTCTCCCCTTCCACACATATTGTTCCACCAACCGGCGCGCAAATTTCTTGCAACACACACCGCATGTCACGACGGGCTCCTCAAAAGAACAAAAAGCACCCTCAATAGGCCACCCACATCGCACCCTCCCAACATACCGCTAGTCGACTATGTCGCCATGTGCTCGCTTTCCCAGCTCCCGCTCCTGCTCCTACTTCCCTTGCCCCGCTCTGCTCTAGCGCTGCTACCACTGCCATCGCCCCCGCCGACTTCCCTCTCTCCCTCGACGGACTCGGCCGCAGGCGAGCGTGTCCTGCGTCTGCGGGACACATTGCCTCCCTCGTAGAGTCTGTGGTGGGGTGGCGGAGGGTGAACAGGGGCATGGTAAGGGTGGTGGGCCCCGCCCGCCGCCCAGCCCGTGGCCTCGCCGTAGTGCTCATGGTACACGCCGCGAGGAGGGTGTGACGGTGGTATCATGTAGGGAGAAGAGGCCGCCGGGTAGCCTCCGCGACCCATCGGTGCCACCGGAGGCGCAAACCGCGGATCCACGAAGCCGCCCGACGGCGCCACACCCAACGGGTACCTGAAGCCGCCCTGCTGCTCGGCGATGCCACCGGCCCCGCAGTAGCCGCTGCCGACGTGCAGGCCATGGCTCCCGTCGCTGTGTCGGCGCGAGGGTCCTCCTGGGGCACGCCCACCGTCCCCCGAGCCATCCCTGCGTCGGGAACGCCTCTCTCCCCCTCGGCGCGCGCGACACGAGGCGCTCTTCTCGTGCCCGGCGGCGGCCGCTGCCGCCGCCCTGCTTCCTCCGTCGCTTTCGGCGCCGTCGTCGCCCGCCTTGCATCTCTCGGACGACTCTGCTGCTGCTGTTGCAGCTTGCTTCTCGGCAACAGCGGGAACCGGAAGGTCGGCGGCACGCGGACCGGCAGCGGCAGCGGCTCTGGAGTTGTCGACGTCATCCTCGTCGTCCTTGACCGGCGATGAGGCCGACCTCCCCCTAGCCCCGCCATCGCTCAACAAGCGCTGGTCCCGCTGCTGGCTGTGCTCCGACTCGCTTCGCCGGTGCCGGTGCCGCTCGAAACTGTGCTGCCCTCCTCCTCCTTCCCACTCGACGGGGCCCCTTCCGATGCCGTCAGGCCGGCCTTGACCTTGGCCGTAGACCAGCCCGGGGTACATAGATGGGTAGCCCGGAACCGCACCGCCCTGAAGAGGAGGCCCTCCCGGGTAGTGAAAGTATCCCGGCGGTGGCGGTGGAGCCGCGTGAGGGTAGGCGCCAGCGGGCGCGGCGTACGGGTAGTACCCCTGCTGCGCGGCATGAATACGCCTGGCCGGTGCGGAGGATCTGCGATGGTGGTGGTGTGCATCCCGATAACTCTTGTTGTTGCCGCCCCCCTTGCCCCCGCCGCGCCTTCGCCCTTCGTCGCCGGAGCTGGACCACCCGCCCGAGGAGGAGCAGTCGCTGTGGTCCGAGTCGGTAGCGGAGGGCGCGGAAGCCGACCGGCCGCGTTTCTCGTGGCGTGCTCGGGATGACGATGGCGGCGAGCCCTTCGAGCTCCGACGCGCCCTGCGGTGCCTGGCGCGGCCGACTTCCTCGTTGGCGGCGCTGCTGCGGCGCCTCTTGAGCTGTGTCTTCACACCTTGCATGTCTTCTTGCAGGCCCTGTACCATCTGCCGATTGCGTTCAGAGTATGCGAGCGTGAGTCTCAGTGCCAGGCAAAAAATAAGCGCGCGAGCAAGAGACGGATTTATAGGTAGGTAGGGCATCGATTTTGAACGTGTTTGCGGCGTGCAAGTATCAAATTGTTCCGTCAGTGACAACGTCGCATAAAGCGGAGTGCTGGAAGGGGGCTTGAGGGCGAGAGGGAACAAACAACCATTGCCGAGCGTTCCAAACCAAATACTTCACAACTTGAGAGGCACCTTAACGCGAGGCTGTCAAAAAAGCTGCTCAACAGTGTCCGTGCAAACGTCCGCCCCCACCCTGCACGACGCAAAAAATCTCACCGCCAGTATCCGTTGCATGTCCACTCCTCCAGCCCCCGCCAAGCCTTCAACCGGCCCCGATGTTGCCGGCCCCCCTGCCGCAGCTGGGACCGCTCCTGCAGCAGCAACCGAGGCCGCGAGAGCCCGCACCTGGCGTTCTACAGCCGGGAATGCAGCAGCAGCAGCAGCCGCAGAAGCAGCAGTAGCAGCAGGTGTTTCGACCGTATCTGTCGTGGCGACCTCATCAGCGTTCCCAGGAGCGGCAGCAGCAGAAGCAGATCTCTCAGCCGTAGCGGTCGCGGCACCTGCATCAGCAGGAGCCTCAGCAGCAACACTGGGCTCCTCGACCATGGCGGTAGCGGCCACAGCATCATCAGAACGAGCGGAGGCACTACCGTAAGCAGGCGCCTCAATTGTGGCAAGCACGGAAACCGCATCGGCAGCAGCAGCAGCAGCAGCAGCACCACCACCACCACCAGGAGCAGCAGCAACAGCACCAGCAGGGGGTGGTGCCTCTGCCGAAACAGCCACGGCAACCTCCTCAGCATCAGCAGGCGGCGCTTTAACCGCATCTAGCGTGGCATTCGCTTCAGCATCGGCAGGATCAGAAGCAGCATCAGCAGCGGCAACAGGTGATACTTCTGCAGAAGCGGTATCGTGAGCCGGCACGGCCGCGGTAACTGCGGGTGAGGGCGCACGCTCAGCCGAGTGCGTGCCGCCAGAGGGCAAGGCACCGGTGTCGGTCGGCTCGCAGGGAACGGCGGCCTCGGCAGGCACGGCCGCAACAGCAGCAGTAGCAGGCTCGGCAAGGTTGCTGCTGCTGTCAGGGAGGCCATCGCCCGATCGCTTGCCTGTCTCGAGCGGCGGTGGCCTCGCCTCCTCCTCCTCCTCCTTCTCCTCCTCCACTGCTACTTCTACCCGGTCCTTTGTGTGTTTTTGCAAAGCGAAAGCAAGACACCGAGGTCGGGGCACGTTTCGGGGAATGGCGGCTTTGCATCCGGTCCGCTGAGGGCGGACCTGAGAAATCCCCCGACACGAGCACGGTACAAGCGACGGGTAGAATCACTAGGGCCGCAAGAACGCAAAGCAGCATTGCCTCTTCTCTCGGCCACAAAAATCGCTAGGCGTACTGCACCCAACCAGGTTGGTCCGCATCTAGGGCACCGTACGAACCAAGGCTTCATAAAAAAAACGCGAGGCACGAAAAAAACCCGACGGTCATTGACAGTGCCATTCCCCCCCCCCGTCCGTCCGTCTCAAAACGTTCTTTACGCGAAAACTCACCTCCTTGTCCTCGCTACCCTTTTCTGCGCAACCGGCGCCGCCCTCGTCCTCTCGGGGCGCGTTGTCGATGTCGGGTGAAAGCTCATTGCCATGCGATGAAGATGCCGCGGCGCATTTGCGCTTGCCCTCCCTTCCCGCGGCCCGGTCGGTACAGCCACCGCCGTTACTCTTTCGTTTTCGTATCTGGTGGATAAAACGGAAGGAAGCGAAAATCGACAAAAGAAGGCGACGAGGAAAGCCACGGAATCTAATATGTTCGGAGCTACACAATAAAAGGCAGTCTCGCAACAGCTTCTAGGAGACGTGAGAGGTCACCCCAGGCATCGTTCTCTTGCAACAAAAAGACGACACTCGTCTGTATTTTGCATCCGATCTCAAAAACCGTCGGAACGTCTCCCCCACTCAGCAAGCGAAGGTGACCTCCAGCTTCGTCCAAAAACACCATGGTACCCAAAACGCTGCGTGCTGCAACACTCGCGTTGTGTCGTACACTTCTATCCGTCAGAACCGCAGAAAACCAGCACGAACGGCCCAACAAATTCTCGCACAGCAGTACAATCTCTTTCCCGGAAACCTCGGCAGCAAGTCAAGCATACCACATAGAAGGCGCACCTTTTGAGTGGCCACCGCCGCGGCCTTCCTCGTCGACCGAATCGCCCTCACGTTCTCCCTCGCCCCATCCCAAGTCGCACCGGCGGCGCCCTCCTGCTGGCACTCCTCCTGGGCACGCCTCTCGGCAGGCAGCACGGTGGCACCCACCACCTCCTCCTCCGCCGCCGCCGCCGCCTGTTGCTGAGGCTGCACTCCTTCCACATCGCTCCCGACAACCGTCGGCGAAGATTCCTTCCTCGTTTTCTCCCCGTCTGAGGAGGTCCTAGGCGTCGCCTGGGAATCTCCTGCCGCCTCTGCACCTGCCGCGGTGCTTTCAACCGCTTGCGTGTCCTTGGCAGCTTGGGCTTCGGGAGTAGTTTCCTCGGTGCCCTGGGCCTCGCGCGCGCTTGCCTGTGCTTCCAAGGCAGCTTGTGCTTCCAATGCAGCCTGAGCGTCCTTGGCAGCTTGAGCTTTCAACGCAGCCTGAGCTTCCAACGCAGCTTCAGCGTCCGACGCAGCTTGAGCTTCCAAAGCAGCCTGAGCGTCCTTGGCAGCTTGAGCTTTCAACGCAGCTTGAGCGTCCTTGGCAGCTTGAGCTTTCAACGCAGCTTGAGTTTCTTTGGTTGCTTGCGCTTCCAAAGCAGCTTGTGCTTCCAGAGCCGCTTGAGCGTCCTTGGCAGCTTGAGCGTCCGACGCAGTTTGTGTTTCCAGAGCCGCTTGAGCGTCCTTGGCAGCTTGAGCTTCCAACGCAGCTTGTGCTTCAACAGCTGCTTGAGCTTCCTTGGCGGCTTGAGCTTCCAACGCAGCTTGTGCTTCCAGAGCCGCTTGAGCGTCCTTGGCAGCTTGAGCTTCCAACGCAGTTTGTGTTTCCAGAGCCGCTTGAGCGTCCTTGGCAGCTTGAGCTTCCAACGCAGCTTGTGCTTCAACAGCTGCTTGAGCTTCCTTGGCGGCTTGAGCTTCCAACGCAGCTTGTGCTTCCAGAGCCGCTTGAGCGTCCTTGGCAGCTTGAGCTTCCAACGCAGTTTGTGTTTCCAGAGCCGCTTGAGCGTCCTTGGCAGCTTGAGCTTCCAACGCAGCTTGTGCTTCAACAGCTGCTTGAGCTTCCTTGGCGGCTTGAGCTTCCAAAGCAACTTCCGTAGCGGCTTGAGCGTCTAACGCAGCTTGGGCGTCCAACGCATCTTGAGCTTGCTTCTTTGCAGCAGCTGCAGCCCTAGCCTCCTCCATTGCCTTCGCCTTGGCTTCTTTCCTCTGCTCGGCTCTGGCAGCATTGGCGGCCTTCGTCGCCATTACCCTGTCGGCTCTCTGTTTCTCTGCCTTGGCTGCTTTGGCTTCTTTGGCTGCCGCCGCCTTGGCGTTCTTTTCGGCAACCCTGGCGGCCTCCTCCTCCTCCGCCGCCTCCTTTTCAGCCGTTTTTGCGGCGGCGGCGGCCGCTTCGGTGGCTACGCGCTCTGATTCCGCCGTGGCGATCTGTGTCGCACTCAGCGGCTCCTCTGTCTCGCAGCGACCTGAAACCACCGCTCCCTCGTCAGCCGGACCGGTTCTCGCTGGGCTATCGCTGTTCAGCGCGCCACCCTCGTCTGGTAGTGGGTCGTTGGACGACGGCAGGGTCGCTTGCGATCGCCTTCTCTTGACGGCGCTTGCTGGGCTATCCAAACCGGCTCCCACTGCTGTCTCCCCTTCCTCCACCTCGACCCGAAGCCTTCCCGACTCTCCGTTCGCCGCCATCTCCGCTGCGCCTCGCTTGCCCTCGCCCCTTGAGGCTTCGTGGTCGGTCACTGCGGGAACAGTGCCACCGCTCTCGGCGACGTCCGCCGCGCTCTCCGCCGAGATCGACGACGACCTCGTCGTGCGAGTTGGCGGTGAAACAGAACCACACCCCAGCCCGTCCGCCGCTGCACGGCGTGAAGGGAGATTCTCTTGTGCCCCCCCACTGCTGCTGCTGCTCGCGCACTGAGGAATGTTCTTATCTGAACCAGGGGCTTGGCCACTATCATTGCCGATGGTACCTCGGCCGGCAGCAGCGGTGGCCCCACTACTCCCTTCGGCACTGGCCTCCTTGCTCCTGCTTCCCCCGGCCGCCGCTGCCTCCGCCGCCGCCTCTGCCGCTGCCGCCGCCGCTGCCTGCAGCAGCACTCTCGCCTCCGACTCGCTCGACTTCTGCTCCTCCACACCGGGGTCTCCCTGCTCCCCGCCGTCGGCGGTCGTGCCGTACAGCGATGAAGGGTGCCGCCGAGCTCGCGAGCGACCTCTCGGCAGTGGCGGTTCTTCCGAGGCTACCGTCTTGGTAGAAGTTTCCGCGGCAGGAGGACCGCCTGCGGCCGGTACCTCAGCCGAGTCAGGCTCGGCTTCGGCCTCGGCTCCGGCCTCGGCCGCGTTCCCGGCCTGGGTTGGCGCCGCCGCCTCCTCCTTCCGCTCCTCAGAAGGAGTGCTAGCCTCAGCCATGTTAACGTCTGCTTCTTGCACGTTGTCGCCCGAGGAGAAATCGGTCGGGGGGTGACGGAGTACCTCGAGGGATGCCACCTTGACGTTCCACGTGAACGGTCGCGTCGGACCGCCCTCCCAAGGCTCGTACTGCACAAGGTGGTACCGAAATCCCTTCGTTGTGGAGGTGGGTCCACTGACCACAATACCCTGTTTCCGGCAAGAGAGGATTGAAAACGAGATCGGTCACGGAAAAAAGGGCAAGCACCAGCTCGGCCCACCCCACCGAGGCATCAAAAGTGCGCAACAACGTCAATGTCTAGCCAGCACCACAAAGACTCACGACTGCTACAGGACACACGACTGCTGCATGCGTACGCCATGTGGGTCCGGCCGGTCACATGAGCGTTGGTCAAGACTAACCTCTCGTCCCAGAACCTCCTGGAAGCCTGCCTCGTACGTCTCGTCGCGGGCGAACTTCAGAGTCCTGCCCGGGTCGGTTTCAACACTCCGCACCACCACCACAGTGCCGGCAGGCAAATTCTCGGTGTTTGGGGGCGTGGGCCTGGCCGCTCCGCCTTCCTTAGCCCCCTCTTCCTCTTTCTCCCCCTCTTGTGTCGCTGCTGCTTCCTCTGCTGCTGCTGCCCCTGCTGCTGCACCCTTGGCGTTCCCCTCTCTTCTGCTCGCTGGAGCAGCCCCGACCCCACGAGTCCCGCTGACGCTGGCACCGCCGGAGCCGATGCCGGAAGGGCACAGGGCAAGGCGCTTGCGCGCGAAGTTCCAGCTGGTCGTTGTGCTCGGCCCACCCGGCCAAGGCTCGAACGACACCATGTGGTGACGGGTACCCTGGACGTGTGTCGCCATCTTCGTCACCACGCCCTGACACACACAAAGCAGCAACGGTATCAGGTTGGAAGACAGCGTGGATGAGACAGAGGTTGTCGAACTCACAAACCAATCACCCCCTCTCGATACTCATATGTCAGATGGGCATACCAACAGCAGTAACCTGGCTTCCATGTCCCATCCTTCCTGCACCCGTCAGTAAAATCGTAACGCATCCACGTTGTTGCGCGTCTCACCGTCCTGCCCACCAAATCTGACGTTTTGAGTTGACAACCGCGCGGACGAGAGCTCTCCGCCGGGGCTTGCTTCACGACCACCCTCGTGCCTACAGGAATCAGCATCGGTTTTCGGGGGTCGTCAAGCGGCTCTCCTTCCTTTGGCATGGCCATGGTGTCCAACACGGCTGCGATAGCGACGCCCTCCTCCCCCTTCTCCTCCTCCCTCTTCTCCTCCTCTTCCTTCTCCTCTTCCTCTTCCTTCTCCTCTTCCGACCGGCCCTTGCCAACTCTTTCCTTGGTCATAGAGCTATATTCCCCCGGAGAATGAATGATTGCAGATTGCTTCTTGTCGCTGATTGCGTCTAAGGTGTTTTCGGTTGAGGAGAACATCCCGTTAAGAACGGAGAACAGGGACCCGTACGGCAGGGATTGTTAAAAACGCGAAAGAACACAAAACACAGTTGGGGGGGAGTGAGGTGCTGTAGATGAGAACTCTTTCATGCATTTGTTGCGTACTGGGTTACATCAATACCAATGAGACGCACACCAGCTTATCATTTCACGTAATCGGTTTCTGCGCTCCTTACCATCTGCTGCGTCCTCCTCCCCCCCCTCCTCTTCCTCCTCCTCTTCCTCCCCTTCCACATCAACCTCCATGTCGTTCTCCTCAGCCTCCTTGTTCCCCTTCCCTTCGCGCTTCACAACTCGTGCCGTTGCCGGCGGCGGCTGCTCACCCCCCGCCTCGCCCGCGTCCACGGAGACACTCTGCTTCGTAGCCTTGATGGTCCCTCGAGTTGATCTCCTTCGTGGCCTCGTGGCCGCGACAGTCTTGCGTGAGACACGCTGCGCTGCGCCGGCTCCCGAAGGTGTGATCTCCGCTCTAGCCGTGCTTAGCCGAGCCCTCGCGCTGCCACCGTCGGTGGAAACGCCACTATCACGGCCGTCACTGACGACGGCAGGGGCGGAGACGGAGTCTAGAGGTGCTGGCTTGAGTAATTTCGCCTTCGCGCGCAGCGTTACCACCGTGTCTGGACCACCTTCCCATGGCTGGAACTCCACCAAGTGATATCTTTGTCCCATGCGGTGAGTGGGTTCCTGGATGACTCGGGCCTGTTGCGGTCCGGAGGAATACATCAACGACGCGCACGCCGGTGGGAGAGATGAGGCTAGAATAAACAACTCAGCTCATCCGAGCAAAGGCGACCTGGCGTGTCTACATACGATAGTTGATGATTCACACAAGGCAAAGCGAAAGGCTGCGATTATCGACTGCTGTCTCCAGAAGAGCGAGACATCACCGCTGCCGACCCTCTCGAATCTGACAAAACACTCCGACGCATCGTCTGCTCACCGGTCTGCCGAGTAGGTCTGACAGCGGAAGGACAGGGTTGCTAGTGCTTCTGACTTGAGCTGGCGAGTCGCAGTGCAGGACGACCATGGTGCCTTTCGAGTACCAGGAGCTCTTGACATCGGTCGAGCGTCGAGGTGTCTTGTCGCCAGCGCTCTGCTCGTCCTCTTGGATCCCATCCTCCTCCTTTCTCTGCTCCCCTCCCTCGCCCTCGTTCGGCGCCGCTGCATCCCCCCCGCCGGCGGCAGCATCGTCGCCTCCACCTCCCAGCTCCGATCGGCGACTATCAGACACTTTATCCTGCCTCGAACCATTACCGACGGCTTCTCCAACCGCCCCCCCATCAGCTGGCGATGGACGAATGTCGTCAGCGGCCGCGGACCCACCCGTTTCCTCACTCGCACAAGGCGTGGTAGGATCCTTCTCTGCGTCTTCCTTGCGGACCGCTACTGCCTCCGTGCCAGCCAACGCGGCGGCAGCCGGCGAGGCGGATCCGTCTTCTGCGGTGCCCACATGCTCGACGCCGCCGTCCGCGGGAAGCGGGGGCGGCATCGACGGGCGTGCAGCAGTACCGCCTTCTTGCGGCGACTGCCCCGCCGTCGGCAGAGGGGAGGCTGTCGGCCCGCCAACTTCCGACGCCGCCAGCTGCGTCGGTAGCACCGCCGAAGGCTCCTCCGGTGCAGGGGGGAGGCATGAGATTGCAGAGGAATAAGGCGCCCCGTGGTTGTCGTGGTTGGTTGTCGTCATCGCATCGTTGCACACCTGTCCCCTCTCCCTTTGGATGACGCCACCTTCCATAGGCGCAATGTCCCTGCCACAGCTCGATTTCCCTGAGGCTGCAATCGCTTTGGGCTCGTTCGACGCTGTGGTGGGACCTGGCCCGGAGGAACGGAAAGGGGGGGTAGGTGCCGGAGCACCAGGGATATTCGGCCCAGGCGTAGCCGCATCCGGGCTAGCCATAGCAGCAGCATCTCCACCACCAGCGGTTATGGCAGGAGACGGCACGTGGTTGGCTCGAGAGGGTGAAGTGATGGACGAGGACCTGCTTGAGCGGCGAACCGGAGACCCCACGCTCGGGAATGCTCCGCTCATGAAGGAGTCTGACAGCGGATCTTCCAGGGACGAAATAAAGTCGTCGCCACCCATGCCGTTGTACCCGATGGAAGGTGGCAAGGGTACTTGGTCGAACTGCGCACAGATGGTGTTGGGCGCGTGCACGGGCTGGTGGCCTTTGGTCCCTCGGCCCCGCGAGGCGCTGCCATCGCTGGCTCCTTCAAGATGGTGATCCGTGCTCGAGCCCGTGCTTTTCAGCGGAGTGAAAGACGCCCGGCCTCGTGGCGAAGGCTTCGACTTTGTGGATCCTGAGGCAGGAGTCTCTGGGCGCCGGCGTGCGTCTTGGCGACGAAGGGTAGCTTCTGGAGACCGAACCTCTGCACCGCTGTATTTACGTCTGGCGCGCATGACGTCCTCGTCAATGTCTCGCCCCCTCCCCCGCCTCTCGGAGCTCTTGCTCCGGTTGCGGTCGCCGCTGCTACTGCCCCCGCCGCGTGGATCGCGCCCGTAAGGGTCGCTGGCCTCGAAGTCCTTTGAACGGCCGGGACCTGCGCAGTCACGGCAAGCACCTCTCCCCCCACGCGAGTCCTTGTCGTAGCTGTTCCCTCGGACGTGCTGGACACGCCCGCCACCACCACCGCCACTCCTTGCCATGCTTGACTCGGCCCGCTTCGCAAACGACTGCTCTCCTCTGCCCTCTCCTGGCCACCACACCCCCCCCCGCCCACCGCGATTGAACCCGCGCCCCCCAACTCGCTCTCTGCTGTCACTAGGGACACGAGAGCCGCCACCCCTGCCGCTCCAGCCTCCCCGCGAGGAGGCCTGGTTGCGAGCGTCGGGTCGGCCCCGCTCCTCTCGGCCGCGGCTGTTCCCGTAGCTACTCCTGCTATAGTCGCGATGGTCACGGCTGTTGCCGCGCCCACCCGACCTGCCACCGCTGCGCCCCCCTCCTCTACTGAGGTGATGATCGGGGCGCCGATGGTAGTCGCGGGTACCGTTGCGGCTGCGGCTGCGGCTGCGGCTGCGGGTTCGGCTTCGACTGTGGGTTCGGCTTTGACTGTGGGTTCGGCTTCGACTCCCACCACGGGTGGACCTTCTACTTTCACGGCTGCTGCTGCTGCTCGTCCTGCTCCGGCCACCGCTGCTGCTGCTGCTGTTGCTGCTGCTGCTGCTTCTGCCACTTCTGCCACCGCTGCTGCTGCTGCTGCTGCTGCTGCTGCTGCTGCTGCCACTGCTGCTGCTCCTGCTGGTGGCGGTGCTGCTGCTACTATACTTGGTTCTTCGGCCATCTTTCGTCCTGTCGCAGTTTGGTTTCTTCTTGCCTCCGACCGTGAGAAACGAAGCACCGTTCCCGCTAAGCTCGCCACCTTTGCCCCTTTGCTTCTGCCGACCTACAGGCGTGGTATGCACGGGGGATGGCTGGGCACCTGCATCCGTAGCAGCAAGTGTTGGAGACCGCGTTTTCACATCGGTAACGCCTACCGGCGGCGGAGCCCAGCGCGTCCCCTGTCCCCTGGTACGTGGCCCGACAACTGTTGCGCGCGCGGGAACGTTCTTGTGGGGTAGCAACACGAGCGGCGCGGGAGCGGAGCCGCCGCTGCCACTCTCCGATGGCGAGTCACGACCATGCATCGACTCGATCATCTCCCTCACGCTGAACACCTGGTGGCTGCGCGGTCCCGCAGGAGATGGTGGCCGCTTCTGTGAAGCCGAACAAGACGCCCAGGCAGGCCGCCGAAGGACAGGGAGGAACATACCGCGAAGACGCAACAGACACTGAGTGAGTAAGAAATGGCGCACCGTGTTAAGATTGAAAACCTGAGGTAGCCAGCACCCTAGTTGTCTCCGCAATAACCCGAAGTTCCGCTTGGTCAGCCAGAACCAGCAATGACATCGACAGTATGATTCCTGTTGACAACTTTGGAGACGGTCAAGGCTAAAATTTACCTTACGCAAGAGCACGGAGGACCGGTAATCTTACACAGGTACTAACCGCAAAGTTTGACCCGCCCAAGAGGACTTTCGAGTGTCCTAACGTGGTAAAGGCAACACATACCGTTCGCTCCAAACGTGACAACAATCATCACCAGTGGCATACCAAGACTACCGTGGCCTTTTTGGCGTATGAGGAGAACCACCCTTGGCTCCACATACCTTCCAGGCTCAACTTAAGGCATTCGCACACACTGGGCGTGATGACAACACAACGGCAAGGCAGCGTTACTCTCCAGCAACGCGACCCACCTTCCGTGCTGCGGCGGCTTGGCCCTCATCCGTAAACACGGTAGCCACCTTCGGCTTGATCCCGGCCCCAAGCTTCTTCTTGACCTTCTTCCTTGCCGCCAGAATCGTCGTGGGCTTCCCCTTCGCTGCTTTACCGCCTCCGCCGGAAACATCCTCCATTGCCCTCTGCTCCTCGTCAGAGAACAAGAACGACTTCCTGCCCGTCCCTACCGCCTTCGCCCCCGCCCCCTTAGAACGGTCCATTTCTGACGAGGCTTTGCCTTTCCCACTCGACGACGACCTGCCGAGCGGAATAAGCTCCATCTCGGCATTCGATGCGCCGGCCGCCCACCCGATGCCCCCGGTGGATCTAGGCGGACAAGGGGGCGGAGGGGGCGGAGGGGGGAGTGGAGGCGAAGGCAGGGGCGGTGCCGACGGCGGTAGCGGGGGCTGCGCCCCCGTGCGCCCCAGAGACCACCCCTCCGCGGAGGGTGAGAAAGGTTCCGCGCCCGGAACGGTACTCGCCGTCGATGAAAACTGAACGCCGTGGGATGACGGTGTTGACGCGGTCGACGGCGGCGGCGCGTCGGGCGAGGGCAACGGCGGGGGCAACGGTGGTTCCAACCCCGCATCACCGACCACGTGCTGCTTCACCGAAACCGGCGGTCCGGCCGATGGCAGCGGCGGGGGCGGCGGCGGAGGCGGCGGCGGCCGCCGCGGGGCTTCCGTGGCCGTCGTACCGCTGGCCTCAGGCGTGGCCGTAGGGTCCGGCGGGGAAGATTGCGAAGAAAATCCCGGCAGCGGGGGCACCGGCAGCAACGCGCTCGGTGGTTCTACTGCCGGCGGAGGCGGTGGTTTCTGCTGAGCAGCGCCCTTCCGCTGGGATCTGCTGGGAGACGGGGAGCTACCTTCGACGCCTTCTGCGGGCGCGTCACGACCGTGGTCTTCACCCTCGCCTCTTTCGGCTGCTTCTCCTGACCCTGCCGATGTACTCCCTCCTCTTTCACGTCCCTCTTTCCCAGACGCAGCGGCCGTAGCCACCCCCATGCCGCCCATCACCTTGTCACGCTGACTCATCAGCGCTTCTAGTTTGGCCGTCGCCACAAGCTCCTTCGCCGCCGTCTCCGCAACCTTGGCTGCCGCACTAGAGCGCGGAGACCTCCTGTCCTGGTCCGAGTCAGTCTCTTCCCCCGACCCTTCGAAGTCGGGCAAGTCTTCGCCAGGCACTCCAACGCTGTCGCTACCGCTGGCGCCACGGGAGGCACTCTCATCGCGGCGAGAAGCCAAGGTTGCTGTGGAGACTATGGGAGAAATCGACTGTTTCTGGCGGGAGCGCGGCCTTTGGTGGATGAGGTGACCCAGCAAGTCCTCAGGAGGAGGAGCTTGAGCTTGAGGAGGATCCGAGGCGACAAGAGGAAGCTGTCGCGGACACGCCAGCAAACAATAGGACAACACATTTCGAGGGGGGTCCAGGCGTGTGAGCGACAAAGGACTGGTGTGGTGTGCTGCGGGAGTGGTGCACTGGACAAAAACAAGGGAATCGGCACGCCACCGACCCCACACTCACCGTTTGCGCTGCGACCAGGAGAGTTGCTGCTTTCGCCTGCGCTCCATCCCCTGGATACCCTCCCGCGGTCGCCTGGGCACGCGGCTTACAATCACGGCACACCCAGCTCTTTGGCGTCTCGGCGCCCCTAACGTTGACGCAACCCGCGTGCGACGGTGTGCGACACATGCTGCAGTCCATGGTCCGCTTTCGGCCAAGACCCTTCTTGCAGACCGGGCACATATGCTCGCCCGTAGACGACGGTACAGTCGGGGTAGTCGGCGCTGCCAACTCTACCGGCGGCGTTGCTGCCGGCGCCGGCGCCGACGGCGACGCAACCGCCGCCGATGATGTAACCGTCGCAGTTGGAACGGCTGCTACCAGACGAACGGTTTCCGGTGGGGTTGCCAGGGAGTCATCCACATCTATCGCTTCTCCTGACTCCCGCAATTGCACTGCCTGAGTCGCCAGCGCTGCTGGAGATGCTGCCTCTCCTCCACCAGCTTCGGCCGTTTTGCAGTCCTTGCACCTCCAGTTGGGTCCTGGCCTCTGGTACTTGTGCTCGTAGAACCCCATGCACGTCCAGTGGAACGTTTTTTCGCAACCCTGGCACGTCACACTACGGGAAACTCGGGCCGTGGTGCAAGCGTGGCATGTCGCAAATGCTCCGGCCGCAGGCACGCCATTGCCTGTAGGAGAACCAGCGCCATTCTTCTCCGAGCAAACACCGCCGTTCGAGTTGGCGCTGTTATCTCCCCACATGTTTCCTTCCTTCCCACCGGCATCAGAGAACAGCATAGCGGCCATCTCCACGGAGCGGTACACGATAAAGCCAACGGAACCGACCTTCGGGCGCTGCAGCAGGGCAGCGCTCAAGGGAGGTAGGCCTTAGCGTCCGCCCGCCCGTCCGCCCCTCCGTCCGTCCGTCCTGTGTGACAGGTGCGCACGATAGGAGGAGGACCGAAAAACACGCGAGGGTCGGAAAAGTGTCTCTTAACCTTGGCGCAACACCACCGCACTTACTACCGCAGACTGAAGATGTGTTTGCCGGTGATACATACTTGGCACCTTAATTTACCAGCATCAGAGAAGGCTTAGCGCATGACGCGAAAATAGAGCTGTTAAGCTGCAAGGTCCTGACATACATGCATATGCATACGAGCATAGTGCACATGAAAGGGCCGCCCAATTCTCGCCGTCACGAGGTTATCGGGCAACTCTCTGGGCCAGCCAGCATGTTATCGTTGACGCCTCTCGTGGGGTGGACAGTGTGACTTGCGATTCACGAGATACCGGCAGAATTTAATCGGTACATCAAAATATATCTCCTTCGTGTGTGCGTAAGTGTGCATCATTGCTCGCGTGGAATATTACGAAGGGAGACTCCGTTGAAAAATTTCCCCCATTTCGCCCAAAGATCCTATGCGACCTGTACGCATGCAATACCGGATGGTTGGTGGTGTGCTGTTGTGACACTTAGTTTGGAGTCTCGTGGATTTGTGGCAAGATTGTGTGGGATGGTGTATCTCGGTAAAAAAAGCGCCAAAAATATCTGAAAAGCAAGTGTCCACTGCGATGCGGGCAGCTCTTGTCAGCACCTCTGGCTGCTGGCTACAGGACCTGAATCAAGAGTGTAAATTGGAGGAACTTCTGATAGAAACGATAACACTAGAATAAATGAGGAGACGCTGGCATCAAGGGGTGCTGGCAGCGTAGAGAAAGCGTAGGATTTCAATGACCTTGCGTTGGTGGTTCAAACCCGTCGACAGCACAGCAGGATTTCGCCCAAAAAAAGTGAAGATTGTACCCAAGCCAAAGCCATGCTCCAGATAACCCGATTAAGACGTGATCAGTGTCGACTTGGAACCGCGTACAACACCATGTGGACTCGTCGTGTTCTTCACAATCCAGACTAACTTCAGCGAGCAGGAGGAGAAGCACGAGCGCGATATCCGACTGCAAGCGAGAGGTCAGAAAAGGCAACCAGCTCGGAGGCGTGCACAACAATGTCGGCCGCATCTTCCAAACTTACTCTTGAAAAGAGCGCTGGTGCGCTCTCTCGACCCTCTCAATCAGTTCCTCTCCAACCTTGCTCTCCGTTTTTCCTCTTCTCCACCCTTCTCTTGTGCACCCCCCGCCGCTGAGACCAGCTGCAGCTCTGCAGCTCTCAAACTATCAAACCATCGAAGGGGGATGCGCGAACACAGCTTAGCTCCCGAAACAGTGGGGGAGTGGGCACTTCATTTCTCTGGTCTGTCGCGACCCCACCGCCCACCGACAAGCTACCGAACACGCTGCGCTCTTCACTGCACTCCAATCACAGCAGTGCTAGGTACCAGGGACACAAGATGGGCAATCCTGCGGTAGGGCTCGGCGCAGCTCCGGCACTTTTCGGTGCAGTATGCGTTGCTGTGGTATCGACCATCATTTACGTACATCATAACCAGAAGAGCGAGAAAGAGGTAGGTCCCACCCCTGTGACTCTTGGCCATGTTGCCAATGCACTCTGCTGTCAAGTCTCAAGCCCGTACAGCAGTATGATATCCTTGCACCAAGGTTCTGTCTGATCAGTAATAACTTCGTCAATGTACTGTGAGATTCCCCGCTCCAGCCAGTTGATCGACCCGTTGGACGGGCAGAGATCTTGTGCAGAAGGTGCACCCTAAGTGCACCCTAAGTGCACCCATCTATAAATAGTACCATTTGATCCAAATTAGTATAAACATGTATCTTAAGGTGGGTACCGGTGGTCTTTTAACCCGCGGACAACAGCTGTACGCCGGCTAACATGTGCTGCTTGTACAACGGACACGTCTCGGTCTCCAATATTTGAAGCAAGCAGTTGGAAACAAGTTTATGACAAGGTTCCCTTTAGTGCAGTACCAGTATTCTTGTAATGCTACAGTATCGAAACCCGTACTAATGTTCCAGTACAGGACAGTATGGGAGGGCTGAGTACTGACTACTCAGCCCAGTATAGAAGTATAGCGTACTGTGCTAAACGTACTGTTGTTTTGAGTACAGTATTGAGACCCGTACTAAACGTACTATTGCGCTCAGTACAGTACCGAGAGCCGTACTAAACCCCCAGTACTGTACAGTATGGAGACCTGTACTAAATGTACTATTTCGCCTAGTACAGCAGTATGGAGAGCCGTACTACACCCCCAGTACAGCAGTACAGTATGGAGGCGTACTGAACCTCCAGTACAGTACAGTATGGAGACCTGTACCAAACGTACTGTTGTTGTGAGTACAGTATGGAAAGCTGTATATTGCGCTTATTTATACAGTATGGAGAGCCCTACTAAACGTACCCTTGCGCCTAGTACAGTACCGAGAGCTGCACTTGCAATATGAATATGCATATGCATGAAGCACCTGCAACAGCACTCCTTGTTTGAAAATACATCGAAGCTTTCGCCGGGCGACCTCGTGGCACAACAAAGGAGATTGGCTGTAAGTAGTACGTAGCAGACGATATAGATAGGGTTGCCCCCGCCAATGCTTATGCCCGGTTTATTTGTCCCCGCACCGCGAAAGAGGCATAGAGGGAGGGAGGCAGGGAGGGAAGGAGAGAATAGCTAGTGCTGTGGGTCCTGAAATAGACTGAGGAGGATGCCACATGTATGGTAGTGGCGGCTGGCGTTGGCGTGCACCAGTCGGATCCAGTATCAGACTGTGACCGCATCGTCCTCATGAAAATATGCACCCTCACAGACGCTGACAATGACCATACTGCAGCATGTTTGTGAACGAATGCCGTTGGCTACTGCGTTTGAATGATGGGCGCTACGGGTCCATACAGGCTCGGGTTCGATCGTTACCCATGCCAGGCCACCTTTGCTTGTTTGCACCACACACCTGCCGTCACCACCTCGCACTTGGACACACAACGCATCTCCTCACATTGCGGAAACTGTTCTCGTTGTGCTGCACACATTGACCATGCAGGCCATGCGCGAAGGAGTTCGGAGAGATATTGAGAGAGAGAAAATTAGGTTGACGGAGCAGAGAGAAGCGCGAAGAAGCAAGCCCCCTTCGTGATGGGCGGTCCAGCTGCCTCGTACAACGCACCGGCGATCGGCTCTGCCCCTGCTGAGGGTGTGAGCGCAGTGGTGGCTCTGGAACGCTCTGTATTACAGCATGTTGAACACAATTATTCGTCTTGTGTTCAGCGTAATCATTTATTTCCGTTTGTGTTCGGCGTGTATGGTCCGCCCCGACGTTGATACCAGGATAGACTGCGGCCGTTGGTGTGTGGACTTTTCTCAAAGACAAGTTCTAGACATCGGCACGAAAGTTGTGCGTAGGTAGGTTGATCTCTGCTTATGCTTGTATGGTCATCCCGGCCTGGAGTCTTTCTTTGCGGGGTATGTACGTTTTTTGGGTCCGTCTTGCTTCGATGTGCTGTAATTCAAGAACTTGCCCATTGAACCAGCACTAGTGCTGTGAAACACCAACTGTGTTGTCTCTGCTTCTTAGGGAAGCGCAGTCGAAGCAGTTGGTCGCAGTCCAAGCAGTTGGCTGCTTCACTTATGCCCACCACCATCATCATAATCGCTTGTTGCACTGGTGAATGCGCCCAAAAGCGCCCACCTGACGTGGGCCTTGTTTCTCTCTCCAATTGTTTTTTCTCAAAGCAAGGGTCAAGCACATTTCAAATTTGCATTTGCTTCGTTCGTGTAGTTAATTTGAAGCTTGACAAAAAAACTACTCCACTCTCGGCTAGCTTCACAAGTGCTGTTTCTGGGACCCCCTCGCATTTTGTTGGAGGAAGAAGCACTGGCATCAAAACACCGACGCTCCTTCGAAAAAAAAAGTACACATCCTCTCAACACCTTTAACTATCAGAGTCATTTCCTATCTCGAGGGAAGCTATTCCCCAATGAATAACCTCCCGAACGAACTCCAGGCGATTTCGAACTCGAACCAAGTCGGGTCCCTCCGCTTCCCAAGAGTCTACCACAGCTTGATGCAAAACCTGGCATTAGCGAAGTGAAACGTCATCGAGGATGTGCCAAAGGTATCATCACATGTGAAGGGCGGCCTGTTGCGTCAGTTTGTCCCTCCAATGGGTCCTAAACACGCCAATATTTACTGGTGTGAAAGCTTGACAGTCCGAAACATTTAAAAGTACGTGGAGCCATCGCTCTCACGGCACAATACAAAGGCCACCTAAACCCTTCAGCCACGCCATACATGCCAACGTCCTGTGTCTCGTACATGTAACACGTTACAAGAAAAGACGACACAAAGAGGTGCAAGGATTGGTGGATGCTTGAACGGGTGTAGCTTTCGGCGTGGCCATCGGGTGTGGTTGGGAGTCTTGTCCATTCTCACAGCTAGTGACTCCTACCTGGCCGTCACCACCAGTGAAGATGACAGTGGCGTCCGGATCAATTTTCCACCGGTCCTTGATGAAGCTGTGGATCCCTGCAACAATGGTCCACATCACACCTGCTTGGATACCGCCAGACGTCCCCATCGCCCACCTAGGTCGCATGTGACAGTAAAACCAAAGGCGACGCATTTTTTAGCACGAGGGCGATTGCGGAGGACAGCCACAAGGCACGGATGCTAAGCTACTTACGGAGTATCAAACACACGGGGTGTTTTCACCAGGGTTTCGCTCGGGTGTGGTTTGGGAAGAAAATTATTTTTCGTTGGGGCAGTACTCGAGCAATAACGCTCCGGTCGGCGATACCTTTTCATAGGGATCGACAACACGGGTACAGTGCTCTTTGAGAAACGTTGACCGACATGTTGTTGTTGTTGTTGTCTTCACATTAAAAACCATCCCGGTC